TTCAAAGTTTATTCCATAAAAAAAGCTTGTCCTTTTAAGAAGTACAGCTTCAAAGAATTCTATTAAAAGAAAACTTGAGCAGGTTACTTTCGTACATCTGCATAGCAATTAATTTTTTTATAATAAAACTTCTGACAGCATCGAGAAAATCAGAGCACCAAAACACTATGTATCTTCTGATAAAGCGTTACTTTGAGTAAGATTTTGATATTAATCACGTTTTGCTTTGTCTTCCAACCTTGCAAAAAGACTTTTTCGAATATTCAGTATCCAAAAAAGATATTTACCTTTTTCGGGAAAAAAATCACGTGATGTTGGGAACCACGCTAGATTACGGATTCATGTAATTAGCGGTATTATTTGAGGTTGCATCGAAGACATCTACACAGGTTCTAATCAAGTCTAAAATTTTTATTCCGTTTTCCTGGAAAAAAGTGCAAGTACCTTTTCATACAAAAACATTTTTACAAGCATCGTCTTGACAGATGAGTTCGCTTCAAAAAAATGCTGAAATTTATGATCAGCATGTCAAATGAATCCACTAGAGCATTTTCAAGCAGTTGCGTGATTTCCTACCACTATCTACCTATCGTAATCCTACGATAATACCGTACCTGTATGTTAAGATGCTGAAAGCGCTCATCCATACAATGAACAACGGTGCCCGTTTCTTTGTGAGTGATTCGAACCGCCGTAGACCTTTTGTTGACATTCTGGCCACCAGGTCCTGATGCTCTCATCGTTTCAATCTTTACCGAGTCAGTAGGAACCACCACGGAGACCTGAAAATCCCACGTTTCACTAAGAACTCTAAAAAAATCACGCAATTTACGTACCTCTTCTGGTTCAGGTAAGACGGATATACTTGCTGTGCTTGTGTGCATCCGTGATTTGTCAGTAAGAGGTATTCTTTGAACTCTATGTACTCCCGCTTCAAACCTAAAACATATTTTACTTTAGCTCAGGGACAAATCAAAGGATAAAGGTTACCTGAGAGCAGCATATGCTTTTTCGCCTTCAACAGCAATTACCGCAGAACGCACTCC